CAATCTGAGCTAAGGCACGTGCCGTCTGCTCGAAGCCGGCCGCGGCCAAAATCCCGCAAAGATGCGCCCGCCACGTGCACACCGCCGAGCGCACCCCCTCGAAAAGTTGATACGACAAACAGATGCACGCGTCTGACTTGCGCCCAAAATTCCACCCCCGTAGCCCGCACCGTTCCACAGCAATAGCCCGCCAAGCGTGACTGACGCGTTTCATACATACAGACATTTTGATTTTTATATATGTAAACTAGAGGGACAGCATTACGCGCAGCGTAATAAATCAATTTTCATTAAAATCGGCCCAGTAGCGGGCGAGTTATTGCCAGAATAAATTTTGCGTCTCCTCTTGGCCGGCGGTGCCCTGTTCCGGTATTCATTGCCAAAGGTCAATGACCTGCCGGCTCTGATTTCGCTCAGTTTTCGCAGCGAACAATCTGAGCCTAGAGCACGTGCTCTCTGCTCGGCGCCGGCCGCGGCCCAAAATGCTGCAAAGATGCGCCCGCCACGTGCACACCGCTGCACGCACCCCCTCCAAAATTTAATACAACAAACAGATGCACGCGTCCGACTTACGTTCAAAATTCCACCCCCGTAGCCCGCACCGTTCCGGAGCAATAGCCCGCCAAGCGTGACTGACGCGTTACATACATACGTACAGACATTTTGATTTTTATATATGTAACTAGAGGGACAGCATTACGCGCAGCGTAAAGAGGGACAGCATTACGCGCAGCGTAATAAATCAATTTTCATTAAAATCGGCCCAGTAGCGGCCTAGTTATGGCCAGAATAAATTTGGCGTCTCCTCTTGGCCGGCGGTGCTCTGTTCCGGTATACATTGCCAAAGGTCAGTGACCTTCCGGCTCTGATTTTGCTCAGTTTTCGCAGCGAACAATCTGAGCCTAAGGCGCGTGCTCACTGCTCGGCGCCGGCCGCGGCCCAAAATCCCGCAAAGATGCGCCCGCCACGTGCAAACCGCCGAGCGCACCCCCTCGAAAAGTTGATACAACAAACAGATGCACGCGTCCGACTAAAGTCCAAAATTTCACCCCCGTAGCCCGCACCGTTCCACAGCAATAGCCCTTAAAGCGTGACGGACGCGTTACATACATACGTACAGACATTTTGATTTTTATATATGTAAATCAGCTACACAATGTAATACAGAACCAACTAGGAACATGGCATGAATCATGGTATTGACATTTCCGAGTCTGGAGTCGGAGTCTTGAAGATTTTGGCGACTGCGACTCTGACTTTGGTTTGAACTGCACGCTCCAACAGAGTCTGACCTCACAGGCATTCTTAGAAAGGTACCCCCATTTTTTCCCCGACTCCAAAATCTCATCGGATCTGTATCGATCTCAGGGGGTGCCCGGTCCGAGGTTGGGGGGGCAAGCTGCCCCGCTTGCCCCCCCCCCCGTGGCGACGCTAATGCATCAGCCACATCGAAAATGGTGCCTCATGTGACCTCGTTGACTTTGGGAGGTCAACTTGACGTTTTGCCTATTGCAGCCGCCAGCCATTCTATGCCCAGTACCTACCCACTACCGGGCCGATCGAGACGAAAACGCCACCAGTCAATTCGCCGTATGCGCACTGGCGGATCCAGGGGGGCCACGGGGGCCATGGCCCCCCCAAAGGCCTAAAGTGGCCTGTTTGGCCCCCCCCCAAAAACGTCAGAAAAAAAATCTAAGAAAATATACCTTGATGGAGGTTTTTAGCCACTTGGTGAAGTAAAGTTTCCACAGCATAATATGGAAGCAATTTGGTAGCAGTGAGGGTCAGTCAAAAGTTGCGCGAGCGGAGTCGACCTTCAAAAAAAGACTGTTGTTGGCACGTGTTTATGGCGCGGCAGCTGGTAGTTGGCGGTGTTTCGCGTGGTGTGGCATCACTGGCGGATCCGGGGGGGGGGGGGGGGGGGGGTAGCACGGGAGCCTGAGGTGCCCCTGACAGGCCCGTGGTGCCCTTGCTAGGCCTGTGGTGCCCCTGGACCCTGGCAGGCCTGTGGTGCCTCTGGCGGGCCTAGGGTGCCCCTGCTAGGCTGCTGATGCCCCTGGGACCTGACAGGACTGTGGTGCCCCTGACAAGCCTTAAGTGCCCCCAACAGGCCCGTGATGCCCCCGACAGGCCCAAGGTGCCCCTGCGACCTGCGTGATGCCGTGATGCCTGCGAGGCCGGTGGTGCCCCTGCGAGGCCGGTGGTGCCACTGCGAGGCCGGTGGGGCCCCTGACAAGCCCATGGTGCCCCTGCGAGGCCGGTGGTGCCCCTGCTAGACCGGTGGTACCCCTGGCAGGCCTGTGGTGCCCCTGCTCGGCCGCTGGTGCCCCTGGGCCCTGACAGGACTGTGATGCCCCTGACAGGCCCAAGGTGCCCCTGTAAGGCCGGTGGTGCCCCTGTAAGGCCTGTGGTATCCCTACTAGGTCTCTGGTGCCCCTTTGACTGGCCCATGGTGCCCCTGCGAGGCCGGCGGCGCCCCTGGCAGGTCTCTGGTGTCCCTGACAGACCTGGGGTGCCCCTGACAAGCCTGTGGGGCCCCTCACAGGCCCGTGGTGCTCTTGCTACTTGCTAGGCCTGTGGTGCCCCTGGCGGGCTGGTGGTGCCCCTGCTAGGCCGGTGGTGCCCCTGACACGCCTGTGGTGCCCCCGGGCACCAAGGGGGGTCATGACCCATGTGGCCCCCCTTGGATCTGCCACTGATACATAATATATTGATTTGTAAAGGCGTTGTGGCTTATGCAATATGCAATTGCAGGCACTTGGTATGCCTCACTTATCCCTTATTGGGGGCTCTGGCGGGCTCCTGAGAGCCCACGTCTATCTCCGGGAGCCCTTGACAGGCTCCTTTGGGTCCTTTCAGTCCACTACAGCATAAGAGGTCTCCATGCGAGTCCTATTTATCTGAGGGCGTACCCTGACGTCTGAGGTACCCAACTGCAGCTCCAATGGTCTCTTACACTGGCGGATCCAGGGAGGGGGCATTTAGGGCCATGCCACCTTCCCAGAGGTCTAAAGTGGCCCGTTTTCCCCCTCCCCCAAACGATAATGAAACATAGTTCAATCAGTGCGTGGCCTAGGAGCCGAGTTAGACAGGGGGTGTTTTACCACCTTCCGGCCCGCAAAGGGACCCAAGCACTGACTCGAAGCGGGTTAACTGGTCGACAAAAGCAATGGTAAGTGCTTACAAAGTAATATAAAGGCATGGGTCGGGTGGGCTACCATTTATATATTTTTCTTTCTAGTTAAAAAAAAAAATCATAGTGTCGGGGCTGTGACGAAAAATAAGTGGCCTAAATCCGATGAGAGAACAGGATTTGGGGGTACCCTAGGTTTGGCTCCAGCATGAGTTGCCCCCCCCCCAAAACGCAAGCCTGGATCCGCCAGTGCGTATGCGGTATGAGATTTCATGAGCTGTTTCGAATATGATGACCTTAGGTGACCTCGTTGACTTTGGAAGGTCAACTTGACGTGTTCGCCTATTGTAGCCAATCTATAACTCAGGAACTGCACTGGACCGATCGAAACGAAAACACCACCTGTCGATTTGCCGTATGCGATCTCATCTGCTATTACGAACATGGTGACCTCAGGTAACCTCGCTGACCTTGGGGGTCACATTATCGTTTTCGCCTATGGGAGCCATTCTATATCTCAGGAATTACTCGGCTGATCGAGACGAAAACACCACCAGTCGATTCGGCGTAGACGATTTTATCGGCCGTTGAATATGATGACCTCAGGTGACCTCGGTGACCTCGAAAGGTCAGCTTGACGTTTTCGCCAATGGCAGCAATTCTATAGGAAACTCCGGAAATACTGGACCGAACGAGATGAAAATTACCAGTTGATCATCGCCGTATGCGATCTAAATCAGCCATTTCAAATATGGTGACGTCAGGTGACCTCGGTGACCTTGGGAGGTCATATGACCGCTTTCGACTTGCCGTTTTCGCCTAGGTATTGCAGCCATTGTAATTTGTATAACTCAGCAACTGCTGGGCTGATTGAGATGAAAACACCACCTGTCGATTCACCGTATGCGATTTCATTAGCCGTTTCGGATAGGTATGGTGAACTCAGGTGAAGTCGGTGACCTCGCAAGTTTAACTTGACGTTTTCGCCTACTGCAGTGATTCTATAGCTCAGGAGCCCAACTGCACCGATCGAGACGAAAACACCACGAGCCGATGCGCCGTATGCGACTGGTGGTGTTTTCTTCTCGATCGGCCCAGTAGTTCCTGAGTTATAGGCTGCCATGCGAAAACGGTTATGTGACCTCCGAAGGTCACCGAAGTCACCTGAGGTCACCAGATTAGTCGAAACGACTGCTGAAACCGCATACGGCGAATCGATTGTTGGTGTTTTCGTCTCGATCGGCCCAGTAGTTCCTGTCTTATATAATGGCTACAATAGGCGAAAGCATCAAGCTGACCTTTCGAGGTCACCGAGGTCACCTGAGGTTACCCTCACCATGTTCGAAACTGCAGAGAAAATCGCATGCTACGAATCGACTGGTGGGGATTTCGACCGACCTTGTAGTTCCTTCCTGACTCCTGAGCCATAGAATGGCTGCATTACGCGCAATTTAAAAGTTAACCTTTCAAGGTCACCTTTCAAGGACCTTTGACCTTTCAAGGACCTTTGACCGGACCTGAAATCGACGGGCACCGATCTGGTGCAGGCCACGGGTTAATTACTGCTGCGCAAACTGCCGGTGTTTCCAATGCTAAAAAAACTTATGATATCGGAGTTAGAAAATACGAATTGTAGAAATACCAGAAATACCTACGGCATCGGGACCCACGGGGGCAGTGGGAGAGTCGGGTGTCGGCAATTATCGTGGGATGCCAGATGGTCACCTTTCGATACCAGATCTCAATCTGGTGATATATGCCGGCTATCGGCAGCGGCACTCGTTCTGCGGTTCTATCGTCCCGCCTCTATTCGTGATAAAGGATCGATGATCTGTGTTAGAGTGGGCCAAGCATGTCGCGCATGCGCCGTCAGCCCGGCGCGGCGGGCGGGAGGCCGGGCGGCCGCCGCGCGCCGCGCGTCCCTCACCGCCGCCAGTCGCTGTGCTGGAGTGTCGCCGGGTGAGTCGCGGACTGACCGTGCGCTGGGACGTGACAGCCATGTCTTCGGCCGGCTATGGCCGCGGCCACCGGCAGTCATGCTACCTGTGTGACCTGCCCCGCATGCCGTGGGCCATGATCCACGACTTCAGTGAGCCCGTCTGCCGCGGCTGCGTCAACTACGAGGGAGCCGACCGCATCGAGATAGTGTTGGAGAATGCGCGCAACCAGAAGCGGGCGCACGGCTTCCAGGACGTGCGGCACAGCAAGCCACACGCGGCGGCTCGCGCCCCGCACGAGGCGCAGAACGGCGTGATGGCCGTGAATCTGGAGGCGGCCGGCGGCGCGCACCCGCCGTCTGCCGGCGCCGGACCGTACACGCTGCGGCCGGAGCGGGCACGCGGAGCGCTGCTGGTGGCCGACCACCAGCCGGCCGGGCCGCCGCGGCTGCCGCACCCTCCGCTGCCGCCGCACCCGTCCCAGCTGGCGCACGGCCGTCCGGGGCCGCCGCTGCCGCCCAACAAGCGGCCCTCTGAGCGGCCTGCCGAGGAGGCCGACCACAAGCGGCCGCTGCTGGAGGAGGGCGGCGCGCCGCACCACCGGCCGCCGCTGACCCGAGGCGAGTCGCTGCCGGCCGCCGGCTACCCGTACGACCAGCGCTTCAAGGAGAAGCCGCCGGCGCGCGTCTACAGCCTCGACAGCGCCAGCCACAAACAGTCGGGTGAGTCGCCGCTGCCCGGCCGGTCAGAAACGGTCACAAATAGTCCGGTGATACAGTCACAAACAGCCGTGTAGTACAACTACAGAGGCTGATCAGAAACTGTCACAAACAGTCCGGTAAGTAGTCACAAACACTCCTGTAAAACTGCTGCAAACATCCCGTGATGATACGGCATCAAGTCCAGTGATACAGCCACAAGCAGCCCCGTGCTGCAGCTACAAACAGGTGCTGCAGCCACAAACAGTCAGAAACACAGCCACAAACAGTTCGATTTTACAGTCACAAACAGTCCGATGATGCGACCACAAACTATCCTGATCCGGTGAAACAGATACAATACAATCAGTTCGGTAAAACAGCTACAAACAGGTGAATGAGTCGCCGCCGTAAGGCTAGTCAGAAATCGTCATAAACTGTCCGGTGTTGCAGACACAAACAGATCGGTGATACAACTACAAACAGTCCGATGACACAACCACAAACACTCTTAAAATGCAACACAAACACCCCAGTAAATACAGTCACAAGCAGTCTGACGATGCGGTCACAATCAGTCCCGTGATACAGCCCCAAAGATGTTTGATGTTACAGACACAAACAGTCCGGTGAAATAGCCACTTACAGTCTGATAATACTGATGCCAACAGTCCGGCTATTCAGTATTCAGCCGCAAACAGACAATAGTCCGGACTAACAGCCACGAACAGTCCGGTGATGCAGCCATAAACAGTTCGGTAATATAGCCACAAAGCCTGTCAGAAATGGTTACAAACACCCTGCAAAGCCACCACAAACAGTCGAGTGAAACAGCTACACAAACAGTCTGGTGATACAATTACAATCCGGTGAAGCAGCCAGAAATACTCCGGTGATACAGCCACTAACAGTCCGATAATACAACCACAAACACTCCTGTAATACAGTGGCAAAGAGTCCGGTGAATGGCGATACAGCCACAAACAGTCCGGAAATGCAGCCACAAACGGTCCAGTGATGCGGCCACAAACAGTACGGTGATACAGCCATAAACCAATACCGTCTATAGACCATAAACAGTCCGGTAATAGGTACAGACACAAACAGCCCAGTAATACCAGGGCTTCGGAGTCGATGAATTTAAGGGTGACTCCGATTCCGGCTTCAAAAATTGACTCTGACTCCGACTCCGGACGGTTCTATTAAAATCCATATCAGGATATTGAAGTTTTTAATGGAAATGCTTTTATCTTGCTTGGAACTATCCATTGTGCGTTGCATGGCTTTGCGTTGCAGATATGCATCAAAAATAACATGCAGAATTAAAAAGCAGGTTCTGAGGAATTCACAGTCTTCTGCTTCTTTCGGCGAAAACGTTCGTCCAAAACAGCAAAATGACCTTCTTTCGACAAAATATAATTTCGAGCGCAGTATCGTCAATCAAACAGGTGCAGTGCATGACGATGAGCCATGCAGCGTTAATTCCGACTGCAGAGTCGGAGTCGGTAAGATTTTGGCGACTCCGACTCCGACTCCGGACAGAACTGTCGCCACTCCGACGGACTCCAACTCCGGCTCCGACTCCGCAGCCCTGAGTAATACTGTAGACTGTTACGTCTGTTGGACAGTGCAGTCTCCAGTAAGGCAGTTGGCCTCCGCCCGTCAGTGCTGCTGGCCTTGGTTGAGCTGCATTCCGTAGTAGGTATCTATGAGACGGCTGGCTTCGGCATACCGCATACTGGCGTGCATACCTACTCAACAGTCACGAATCGTGATTCACAATGTCTGCTGTGTGTATCAAAAGTTAATATTTTAAAGGCGGTGTTTCGGATGAGGGCACAAGGCATATTTCCACCGTGTTCGACGTATACCGTCGACCTTGGCCACATTCCGTCTGGAATATTTTACATGCGACAGGTCGACTAAACGGATGAGTGCAATATAAATGTTTTCTGGCCTTCAAGGACGGTATTTCCGTAAACTGATTAAATATGTTATGCAACTTGTTAATATTTGTATAAAATTAGGTACTTTATGAGGTACTTATATGAACTTTATGAATTGAAACTCCAGCTGTAATCAGCCGGTGATGCTTAGTGTTGTTGCTTCCCCAGGCAGTATAACTTTACCACTTTCCTAGGCACTGAGGCAGGCATGGCAGTTTTCACGCCACCGCTCGCCCTCCCAACGGGAGAGGACCCCGTGCACTGAACAGTAGTCACTGACCGCGGTACCGGCACCTATAGGCGCCAGTCGCTGACCGCCTATATTGTGCCGTGCCGTGCCGTGCCGTGCCGGCTTCACATCTCGTGCTGTCGATTTCCCGAACGCTCGTCGGCTTCGGCAGGAACGATCTCGCGTGAGCAGAGTCCACTCTTCCGCGCCCGCGCGCTCTTTTTTGGCGCGCCCTCGGAGCATGCCGATCGCTGCGCCGCTCGCGTGTCATCCACCATGACTTCTAGGCGTTTTTCGGCCGGCGGGTAGAAAGACCTCATGGCCAGTTTTGCGTGACTGGCTCGTTTTCCGGGGATTTAATATTGGATGGTGTGCCGCCGTCCATGGCGGGTCACGGTGGGGCCCGAGTGTGGGCTGCATCGGCTGCATGAGACATGCAGCGGCCCGGACCAATCTGAAGGAAAACCGACAGGCGGCGAGGCTATCCGGCCGGCCCGACCACGCGAGCGGCGTGTTTTGCCGGATTCGGCCCGTCTCGCGTGCTTCAGTGCCGGCGTTGCATGTCGAATTGCTCATGTCGCAATTCGTGGTTTGTGATGGTCGGACAACGGTTTCAACTGCATCAAAACATTGACTGAGCACTGGTGTTGCCCTCAAAGAGGCTTTCTTCGCTCATTCTGGACTCTGGAGTTATTAAGTCGGATCCTATTCTCCGAAAATTTAAATGCAATTGCACCTTATACCAATGTACCTAGATTCTAGCTACCTATATGATTGAACTATTAATAAACAATATTTGCAGATGCCGGATAGACATGCGGAATTAACCCTAAAAAAAGCAGCTGGAGATCATTCCTCCACTTTATTCTTAGGCTTATGCTCCGGCCAACGTCTAGATGGGCACGTGAACTTATATGCTACAGATGGACACATGATCGAACATTTTCTAAATCCAGCGCTCAGCGTGTAAATGTGTGCATTGCGCATGTTCTGTGTGTTGTGTGACGTAGACCAGACCCGTCGAACTAGGTCTGACGCTGAGGTCCAGGGTCTGTTTCCGGCCTCTGTGGAGCACTGTCCTGTGAACGCTCCGTGTCAGTGACGGTGTCATTTCCTTTGTTTACGAAGCGCCACTGACTCGGCCGGACGCACCCCGCGGCTCGGGCAGTGTCACTGCGCGGCGGTCTGACCGGCTGGTCTGGTCTGGTCTGTGGGACCGGTCCGACCGGCTGGTCTGGTGGGACCGGTCCCGGTCCGACCGGTCGCGCTCCTCTCGCTCCGCCGTCACCGCGGACCGGATCGCCGGCCGCACGAACCGGCCTCTGGAACCGCGGGAACACGGGCCCGGTGCGCTCCGCTGCCACCCCCGGCGACGGCTCGGCTATCATGTTACTATGACGCCGTCGCATTGGGCTGCTGCTGCCCAGAGTGAGCCTGCCAGCGGTTTTAACTTTTACACATTCTCACCAATTCTCCCAAATCTGTTAGCAATTTTACTCCATTTGACCATTCATTATTTGACAGATAAGCTTAGTTGTGCAGCTTACACTCGTGTGAGCTGTGAGCAGGAGCAGGCACTGACGCTTCTCCCGGACATGGAGGTCATGTCACACGTGTGATCGACCAGTGGGCTCGGGGGCACGTCTAGGAGCGACCATCGACCGGGGCTCGACCACCTTGTCCTCGACACCGGTGGCGGGCCATGTGCGCGGGGCTATGCTGGCGGCCGGCCGCGCAGACGGTCTATTGATCGGCGCCCAGTTCCGGTCCCCCACCCCCCCTCCGTCGGGGCTGGGGCCTGCTTGTTGTGCAGTGCGCACCCCCTCTGGCGGCGCGCCGGCCGGCCGGCCGGACCGGTCGCCCACAACCGCTACGCGCCGACGGCGGCGCGCAGAGCCGCTCTGGCAGCGTGCCAGACGTGACGTCACGTGGCCTTGGCGAGCCGCCAGCTGTGGGGCCGGTCGATACGGTCCAGGGGAGGGGAGGGGACGGGTCAGCCGGCCGGCGCGGCGCCTCCCGCGCCTCGCGTGACTCACATGGTTCGTCCGTCCTCAGCTGGGAATGGCCCGGCACATACAAAGAGACATCGCTGGTACGTCATTTCCCATCCATCCTGGAAATGGTACAGAGCCGTGACATAACTAGTACGGAGTGCGTCGAGTTCTACAGGCTACAGCGCATACACATGCAGGCTTGAGGCTGTGGCATATAATCCTATCCTACAACTTACAAGTGCCTCTTAGCTGCACGACGGACGTCCTACGCAAAGTCTCGGTCAAATAAGTTTTTTGTGTTGTTTGATTCCCCACCACTCGCTGGATGAAAAAGCATTTTCGTCCAGCAAGCAGTTGGCAACTAGCATGAACAAAGTGGCCTGTCTCGCTCGCCCACTGTCACTTCTCACCCACCCACCCACTCACTCACTCACTCACTTACTTACTTACTTACTTACTTACTCACTCACTCACTCACTCACTCACTCACTCACTCACTCACTCACTCACAGTGGCGGATCCAGGGGAGGGCAAATGGGGTAATTGCACCTTCCTAACGGCATAAATTTAACATTACGCTTAGGACGGTGCATGGAAAGAACCAATTTATTGTTATGGTTTGCCCTTCCCAAAACTCTTAACTGGATCCGCCAGTGCTGCACTCCCTCACTCACTGATCACTCACTCTCAATCAATGTGCCTTGCTCAGTGCTCACTGCTCAGTGCTCATGCCTAAGGCCATTTCCACGATCTTTCAAAATAACCCTGTGGCACTGTCGTTCTGATTGTGCGTGCATGCCAAATTGCAACATTTCCCTTCTCGCAGAGTCCGCAAGTCGCAACCCATATCGGGGGACAGTCATGTAGAGACAGTTATCTGTAGGTAAGAATCTTGGACACGATGTCGTCTGTCGACCGAGCATTAGGTATTCCCTGACCAACCCGGTGGGGTCCCGGGCCAGACGGTGCTATCGCCCCGTGAGCGGTTATGGACTGTAGACTGTGAACTGTGGGTCATGGGCTTGGACTCTGGACTGAGCGATCATGTGCACTTTGCGTACCGTGTGTGTACTGTGTAGACGCCGGACGGTTCACACTTCAAATAGCAGATAGCTGTCTTAAAACCAAATACTTACAGAACATTGTTGTTTGGAGACGAGTTCTCTGCAAATGTGTGCTTTTGGTGTATTTGGGTAGCTATGCCAAATACAACGGTCGAATATCATCCATCATCCCCTGCGTGTCAGGACGGCGTCACGGTGCCTTCGCCCGCCTGTGCGTGGCCGCGAGGTCCTCAGGTGTTTCCGCTCTAGGGTCCTCTCCCGGCTGCTCAGAGGGTGCCGACGGGTCCCCTTACGTCCCCGCGGGTCTGAAGGGATCCCAGCGTCCCCGAGGGTGCCGGCGGGTCCCCTCATACGTCCCCGCGGGCTGACGGCGCTGTCGGCGGGCTCCCCGGTCACGCAGCCAATCAGCGAGCTACGTGCCTCTGGTCAGCGAGCCGTCGGGCGTGCCTGACGGCCGTCTGCCGGCAGTGGCCGCACGTGACAGGGCATCAGCCGCCCGGTTAGCCAGGGAGCAAACGACACCCGCGGGACACGCCCCAAACCCCACCGCGCGGGGGAATGGGGAGGGTGCAGCGCCACGGTATAAAAAGGCAGACGTCAATCGCTAGAGACGGTATGTGCCTGCGCGTTATAGATCTCGGAGATACAAGACGCATGTTTCACGACTATCAGATTATTAGGTAAATCAATTATCTAAAAGTCGTGGCGATGAAATGAGAATCGTCAGAACTTGGAATTGGGACGGCCACCGCGGTGCAATAGAATGGAAAAACCTGAGGGGACACGATGGGACATTGAGCTTATCACCTCGTGGCCGGACGAGTAATCCTATCCTGCGCAGAGCGGCGGCTCCACTCGGCAAGCCGGAGCGTCACGCTCGACGGCCGCAGCCAAGGTCGGCGGGTGACGAGCGACGTCACGAGCCGCCGCCGCCGGCGTGACGGACGTGACGGCGTCACGCGAGCGTGGCGCGCGGCACGCACGGCCGCCGGCGCGGAGCGAGGGCTGGGAGCGCGCCGGCTGGTCATGCTGGGAACGGGCTGCGGCGGGGACCCGGCTGTCCCGGTGTTATTTCCGGTCGGTGACTGTGATATAAAGAGAGGGAAGGAGTAAGAGACTGACCGCCTCTATGTTTGCGTGGACGTCTATGGATGCTCCTTGAAAGGCTCCTGCCTCCTCCAGCTGTCGCTTGTCCATCGGAATAAACTGGAATGGAAGATGGCATGTGAGAATGCCCCGTCGGCGGCAATAGGTGCCAGCCACTTACCACAGCAAATCACCGTTTCCAATAAAACTCTTTCCTAAATCCTACTGATCTGGTTTTGCTGCTGAAAAGCACTCCCCCCAATAGGTACAGGCCAAGAAGAGGCATTGCGATCTAGGCATTATGGGCTCTGGCACTTTATCCATTTTTCACCCGATAGGATGCATTGCACGGTTATCTTTTATAGCTTGCAATACGCCTGCATTGTCATAGATTCATTCGACCATCAGCTTGTGCGTTAGCAAATGACACTATGGTATTTACTGGCATATTCGTGGCCAGAAATGTCAGTCACGATTTATGAAGCTCACATTTACATAGGTATATGATGTTATGCAATTATGCATTATGTTGTGTTTTGCAGGCAAAGAGGCTGCCTATATAATTATGTGGTGTCTGTCTGCCGCCACTGATCACTGACCACCGCGCTGTCCGCATGAGTGCCCAGTGACGTTTCGAACGTTACACATTGTCTGCCGCCGCCACTGACCACCGCTGTCCGTGTGCCCCCAATGACGTTTCAAACGTTACACACTGTCTGCGCCGCCACTGACCTGACCCTTGTTTGTATCTCCCGGCAGTGATGGTAGCCGCGAACGGCACTCTGGCGGTATCGGCCGCCGGCGCGGCCATCGCCGTCTCGCGCGCCTCACCGGCCGGTGGTGCTCGTGCCTCGCCGATGGCCGCTCTCCAGGACCTGTCTGCCGGCTCCCCGCGCGCCAGTCCCGGCTCGGCGCCACCCCGCTCCGCCTCCAGAGGATCGCCGCACTCGCCCAGTCCAGGTCAGCCTCGCCGCGCCTAGCCATGGAGGATGTCCCTCTACTGATCGGGGGCCCGGGGCACTCGGGGTAACGGGCCGGGGGTGGAAGTGGAGAAACCTCGGGTTAGGGTCTCAGTGGAGACTGTTTCAAAGTTTCGTGCTAACTCATGGTATCGGTGACGCAGACCCGCTAGCCGTCCTGCTCTCCATCAGGCATCCAGGCGGATGGTAAAAGCTTTGTTGCAGCTCAGATGAACGTACAGGCCTAGTGTGCGGTCGGGCGCTATAGCACGTCGATGCTGGGTCTTACCTCGGGCCGAGCCCGAGTCTGTTTGTTTGGGTTGGCACTTGGCAGTGGGGTCCGCTGTATGTATGTGTTTGAAAATTCCTCTGACGATGCACTATACCGGTATCCCCCCGGCCCATTCTGCAGGGTAGACGTTGGTGATTTGACATCGGGATGCAGGGTGACGAGCGCATGATCTCATCGTGAGGCTGGCACGTGTCTCGAGCTGGGGACAAGGACTATTTGACGCACGTGTGTGCGATGTACAATGTGTCAATGTTTACCCACATCGGAATCTCACGTCAGCTTTAACTTTGCAATCCTGGCGTGAGTGGCACAAAACTGAGCAATGGCAGACATGTTCCCTGAACGACCACGACGCCTGCCTCTTCCCAAAGCAGCTTGCGATTTCCTTCTGTTCGCTGTTCGTTCCGTTGATTGGATTCTGTTGACTGTGAGCTGCGGCGCACTGCCCCGATGGTGCTGACCTCTGTCGTGTCGGTGTTCTCAGGAGGAGGCGCTGGCACAGCGGCGGCAGCGGCGGCGGGACGACGTGTCTCGGGGCCCCGGCCAGGCCCCGCTGAGGGCGGTCCCGCCGAACAGGGCGTGGCCACATCGACCGTCACCGACCCGGTGCCCAACGCGCTGCTCAAGTGCACCCTGTGCCAGGAGCGGCTGGAGGACACCCACTTCGTGCAGTGCCCCTCCAAGGGCCACCACAAGTTCTGTTTCCCCTGCAGCAGAGAGAGCATCAAGCGGCAGGGCTCCCATACTGAGGTGAGTTCGATATGTGACCCCTCCGGATGAGCATGCTGCATGCGAGACGTTGCGAAAGCTGGCCTGTGGTTTACATAAACGGATTTACGATACACTAGCGAATGGAGTGTTCCTAGTCATATCTTTTCTTCTGTAGAGTTCACAGTCATGTTCCTGGTCCTATTCTTTCCGAAAAGGCTACAGTCGTAGCCTCTATGACTAACTCAGGCTATAAGGTTAGAATTTTCACGTAAAGAATTCGCTCCAGCTTTTTGATAGAGACATGTCGATTTGATGTTTCAAACGAGTGTTTAGTAGAGGTGGCAAAATGTGGACCCGAGGACCCGGTCCAAAGAACCAGTCTGGAGCCATATGGGTCCAGACCGGTTCCTGGATATTTTCTGACGGGTCCAACCGGGTCCTACCATAAACTATACATCTTGCACACTACACATTATTGCAAAATATGAATGAAGTGAATGAAGTGAATGTTTCTTTGCACACAGTAGCTCATGAGTATTCCCAGTGGGAAATAGGCTGTTTTACATGATCAACTAATGATTCCTTCAAGTAGTTTGTATTAATTGACTTTTGGGGAACGGGTCCAACTGGTTCCGGTTCCAACTAAGACCGGGTCCGACTGGTTCCAGAAATGTCCAGCCGGGTCTGGTTCGAGTCTGGTTCCCAAAATTTTCATCTTTTGCCACCTCTAGTGTTTAGACACTGTGAAACCTGGCGGCCATTGCCCTAACTTGACGTTGATGTGTTTGCTTTTCAGGTGTACTGCCCCAGCGGCGAAAAATGTCCGCTGCAGGACTCCAACGTGCCGTGGGCGTTCATGCACAATGAGATCACCACCATACTGGGAGAGGAAGTCACCGTAAAGAAGGAGCGGGACCCGTGAGGACTGGTGGCACCGCCAACAGACGCGCTTCATTCCTGTTCTCAGTGCGAGGTCCAACTTAGCAACCCTGCAGACAGACGAAGAAGGTGTTCGGAGAGAACTTCAAGCCAGATGGATGTTTTGACACGACCTCAATGGTCGGATTGACGGGACACTACATCTACCGAAGGGCATGTGTCCAGACATAACCTCCTAGCTGGCCGAATTTACGGACAAAACCTCAACTGACCGAATTTTTGGACAGAACCTCAACTGACCGAATTTCCGGACAGAACCTCAAGTGACCGGGTAATCGGATAGGACTGACTTGTCGCCCTGGAATAAAGTGGCGCCTTTTCGAGCACTGTCGTGGCACCGGTGTGTCTCATTCCGTTTGAGCTGGACATCAGGTGGTGTGGTGTTGACCCGTACTTCTACTTGTGTACAGAAAAGAGTTCAATTGTGAGTTGTGTGTAGACAGACCAGAGAATATGTGCTCGTGAAGCAACGCAACTTCTTTTGGCGTTTCAGGTGCATTATGTTTTTGATTGTCCTAGGAGCACTCGTCATTTTATTGGTGGCGGATTCCTAGTCAGTTAAGCTGTACGATACATGTTGTCTTGATGGGAACTCTGTTACTCGCGGTAGGTTGTCTCTCAAGCTCGCCATTTTGGCGCGCAGTATTTGTCCGAGCCATCAGGATCTCCTATTAGTGGCTTCATCGGGAGGCGGCGAGCCTGATAGGCGGTAGTAGATTCGCACACCGCGATAGTACGGTTCGGTCCTTGCATCGACCGCTGGTGGACCCCCGCTCACTGTCGCGCGTGTTTAATCTCGCTTCACTTGGACCAGAGAGCTGGCATCAGCAACAGCCGATCTCAGCGTCGCTGGTTTCATTGTTCTTCACTCATTGTCTCGTGGAGTAGTTCTTCAGGAGACCGATTGTGGGTACGATGTAAGCGTGCTATTGTTTGTCGTAAGAGCAGGCCGGAACAGGCCATAAATTTGCACCTCTGAGCGCGACACGATGCATCTGGTTGAACACCTTGAACACGCTGAAGGCACCTGCGTGTGCAATGATGTTGCTGGTATGCGGCTATTCCTGGTGACAGCCATAGTGGAGGAGCGGGATAGTTGCACCATGGATGATATAACACTGGATTGGTGTCTCGTGGAAATTAACATTGGGATCCGCGACATTGGGATCAGGCCTGCCATCTAGCGAGAGAATTATCGTAAGTTAGGAGCAAGCCGAGTGAACGCCATCTCTCAGCATTATGACACACGTGGGTGTGGTGTGTTAGTTGGCTTGAAGTGCATATTCCCACGAGTTGGAGGTAATCTTACTGAAAGCGTCTTAAATGCTTGAGAGCCAAAAACGTCAAGCAGCCTTTAGGTAATAACGAAAATAAAATGCGTAAGACGGTGTGTATTGAAACGCCCAGTACCATCGGCTTGTACGACCTTTTATATGGTCATTTACTCACAATGGTACAGCAGTTTAACAATATGTCACTTACATATTTGGTAGGCTTATTCCTTCTTCTCCGAATTTCGCCCGATTTTCTTCATCTTAGTTAATGTTACGGCACGTGTCACGTGCCAACTTAGGGGTGTCGAAATTGTTCCACATAAAGTAACTCCGCAATGGCTGGGCCAATTACAGTAAAACTTCGTCAATAGTTAGGCACTCAGTGGCCAATGCATTTCCATGTGTCACTATGGGGGTGCTACTGCACGTGCGCACGTGCGGGGTGCCGCTTCCATATCTCAAGAACGGCTGGGCGGATAACACTCAAACTAGGTACACAAATGTCACATCGATGCTCGCACTGCATTGATCAGTGCTTACATTGGTGCAGAGCTGTTAGGAAAACGATGAAATGAGATGCGTGGTGTGTATGCCTTTTTTTCCAGCAACTGATTGATTCGCAACAGGAGATCCTTGTTTGCGAAGGCTTCGTCTCCCTTTTCCACCCCTTGTTTAAAATAACATTAATTAACAATGTACGAAGAAGATCACACATAAAAGTTGTTTTAGGCGGCTATCTTGGGCCAGGGCTGCGAAGTTGTAGTCAGAGCCAGCGGTTCTGTTCCGACTCGGAGTCGGTTGATTTTTAAAAGCTGTAGCCCGAGTATGAGTCGAACGTCACCGAAAAGTCATCACTCCACAGACTTACCAGGGCTGCAGAGTCGGAGTCAGAGTCGGAGTCTGTGTGAATTGACAGTTCTGCCTGGAGGAGTCGGAGTCGATATTTGGATAACGGAATCGGAGTTGGAGCCATTGAGTTACTGAAATTTCATCGACTACGCACCACCGGTTGGATCCTTTTCATAGAGCGTCTTGAATGACATATTGAGCGGCAATGACGTTAGCAATTCCGTTTAAGTTTTTCATTAGACTTAATAGATAGTACTTACGTTCGTTTTGTTCTTTGATCGGACAATTTGTTTGATTTAGGCCAAGTAAAGACTCATGTGAAAAATAGCGAAAACGACACGTGCTGGCGAAGTCTCCAATAACTCCCTGTTTCACGATTTAATGAGGAAATAACATGGAACTGCTTATCTTATTACTGACCCTGCACATAAATCTATTAATTTCTTCGCCTTTACTGACATATAAAGACATAACCTTTTGAAAAATTGCACAACAAGCCTGCTACTACACCACACTCCCGTGTGTCACAATGCTAATCAGCGGCGTTCACTCGGCTTGCTCCTTACTTACGACAATTCTCCCGCTAGATGGCAGGCCTGAGCTCAATGTCGCCAAAAACTGCGAAGACACCAATCCATTATTATCTCATCCATGGTTGCACTAAAGCCGCCTACCTACTTGTCTGATGACGTCCGCATCTGGTCTATGGTCCGTGGTACTTGCCGCAAGTAAGCGGCTGTAAGGTTGACCGAAATGGTGAAGCGATGTGGTTGAACTAGGAGCCTGACGCTAAAACGGTTAGCAGGCAAACGGCCCTCTGCTATGTCTCTGATTAACCATAACTTATGTCAACGCATTAGGTGGCAAGCATCCCAGTGTTGTTTTTCATTGTAAGAAATGGTACTTTTCTCAAAGTTTTTTTTTGTGACTGTCGAGTGCTTTATATTTGGCTCTACATCCTACAATAACCAACGTCGTGAAAAACCGTTGTAAAGATCGAAGCGACGGTCGTTAGGACAGCGATTTATTTTCTACAAAGAAGCCCTGCTATTGTAAAATGTTCATCTAACGGTGTGCCGAGAGATTTTCGAACACTTTATTGGGAGACTCGTTTTACCTAAGCGATATGCTGTCAGGACCAATATGAGTGAATCTGCTTGATACAGCCACTCGATAGGTACTGGAGATGCCGCGGTGATTCCGTCAGTCCAGATCACATGTGACATCCACATCTGCTAAGTAACTGGAAGCAGTGCATCCGAAAACTTGATATTTCTACTGCTTATTTACGAATAAATTCAAATATAAAATACCATGCTTATTTACGAATAAATTCAAATATAAAATACCACAGTATTTGGCTCGCCACTTGCACGGGCACCACGACCCGTGCCAGAACAGAACTATACCTCCATAATGCACTTGTATGTAGGTACGTACCTGAGCGTTTTCGCCTAGGTATTGCTAACTGCAGCCAAGGCCCTAAAACATAAACTAGGTAAAACAGACTGCAGCCATTCCATCTTCATAACGCGTACGGCCATTCTGATATAGGCAATCATAGGTATCTTCCAAGGTCGCCGAGGTCCCTCATAGATCTATCAGGATAACAGAATCGCATATGACAAAATGACTGTTTCGTCTCGAATTCGATAGGTCCAGCCAACATTCTTGGTCCAGCAGCGCCCCGTGATCATAGGACTCTAGCTAGTGCCCTGGGGCTGGGGCCGCGGGTTCACTTGGGGTTATATATTTATATACCTACACTGTGGGGTTATAGAACAGCTGATACCTACCTATATGGCAAAATCGTCAAGTTAACTTTTTAAGCTCAACGAGGTCATTTTAGGTCACCATATTCAAAATTGTTTGTATAATTGTCTACCGTTATTTGAATAGTGCTAATTCTGCTGTGCGGTTGCTGATTTATAGGGTGGTTGCCATAGTCATGGATGAAGTAGCTCCTTCATCGAAAAGGTTTCATCGAAATCGGTCCAGTAGTTTCGGAGCATGGGCTCGTCTGCAACAGATTTTAGGGGTTTTGGACCGATTTGGACCACTTAGGGTGGACCAATCAAAAAATTATCAAACACGGCACCGTTTCAGACCACGGCGCGTCTAATGGTGAAGGTTTCATCGAAATCGGTCCAGTAGTTTCGGAGCATGGGCTCGTCTGCAACAGATTTTAGGGGTTTTGGACCGATTTGGACCACTTAGGGTGGACCAATCAAAAATTATCTAAACCGGCACCGTTTCAGACCACGGCGCGTCTAATGGTGAAGGTTTCATCGAAATCGGTCCAGTAGTTTCGGAGCATGGGCTCGTCTGCAACAGATTTTAGGGGTTTTGGACCGATTTGGACCATTTAGGGTGGACCAATCAAAAAATTATCAAAAACGGCACCGTTTCAGACCACGGCGCGTCTAATGGTGAAGGTTTCATCGAAATCGGTCCAGTAATTTCGGAGCATGGGCTCGTCTGCAAACGATTTTAGCGGTTTTGGACCGATTTGGACCACTTAGGGTGGACCAATCAAAAATTATCTAAAACGGCACCGTTTCAGACCACGGCGCGTCTACTGGTGAAGGTTTCATCGAAATCGGTTCAGTAGTTTCGGAGCATGGGCTCGTCTGCTTTTTAGACACTCCCGTCGAAAACGGGTGTGAATGACAGTGAATGCGACGCAGATTATTCAAACAGAAATAAATGATCCTGTTCGATATTCAGCTGACGTGATGTAGTATGCCATAATGGTATCTTGTATATGACGTATAAATATAAAAATCAATAGTGTTTCGGCATAAATTGTTGAATATTATATAAGACGATATATTGTGTTGCAAAAATCTATTTTTTATTTTTTTCATGATCACTGACTTATCAGAAATCTTAACTTTTGCGGTAACGAAAACTGGGTCCAGTCCAGTCTCCTTGGAAACTGGAGCACCCAGCAATATGCCGAACAGGGCTGTTTCGTTGTCCAGAAGCGTCCAACTTGCGTCCAACAACGAATGCATTGTTTATGTGAAATTAATAAACTTATTCCTGTATCCGGTGGTTGTTCCCTGGGTTGTCCCCAAGTTGTTCCATTCTGTTCATAGAAGAGCTGGAGGCTTACATCCTAAATTTTTTTTTTGGGGGGGGGGGATTTTGTTCAAATCCCTCTTTTGCACCACTTTTGCACCCTAGGTTCAAAATTGAATAAAAACCGCACTATGCTGTCACAAACCATTATAAACCTAGAAAATTGTTAATACAATCATTTAATGCTAAAAAATCAGTTTAATACAAGCAAAAAATAAAAAAACTTATTTAAGCTGACCTAACCTTACGGCTTACCTACTAGGTAACCTACAAACCTACAACCTACAACCTACCAACCGGCAACCTACAACCTATCAGCCTACACCTACCAGCCTCCAACCTACCCTACAACCTAATCTACAACCTAAATCTGCTTATATGCCACATAACCTTACCTGACTCAACGAGTGGTTGGGTGTAACTTTGACATATAAATGTTTTGTGTAAAAAGTATCATAAGTACCATAAGTACCTAACTACTTGTGATCTCACTTCTCTACCTTAGAAGGATGTGTTCTTTTTTCAGGATTTTGTTTCGTGAATTTCCTCTTGCGATGTGCTGATTTTATTTATTTTGCAGGATTCTGTGTGCTGAAGGTGCCTTCTCCCTTCTTGGCAATATGTCGGCACTCAATAGTTTGAGTGCACAGTACACTGATTCTGAGGGTGAGGATGACTCCCATTCACACCACAGTAATTCTCAAGATGAACCAGCACAAGTCCCTATCAATATTGAGAGAGAGGAAGTCAAACCAGTTGATGAGGAGAGCAGCTCAAACATGGGTAAGAAATCATTTTTTGCTTCTGACTCAGACTGTCTGACATTTCAACCTAATTCTCATCACAGGAAATACTTTGCATTTCAGCACTTATGAAGGCCTTAGTTCTGTCAGAATGAGAATTTGCATCAAAAGTGGGCCTGCAAAGTGTAAGTGGATGCAGCACTAGTTTTTATAAGAGTATGCTTGAAAAAGGAGTGTACATGTTTATTTTACACTAGGTTTACTTGTAAAGGCCATCTTACTTTGCATATCCTTAATCCTAGACAACCCCACTGTTGACTGTAGTTTTCTGAATGCAGTGGCCCTGGCTGCTGCACCCCCAATTGTTGCACCCCCAACTGCTGCACCCCCAACTGCTGCACCCCCAACTGCTGCACCCCCAACTGCTGCACCCCCAACTGCTGCACCCCGAACTGCTGCACCATCAACTGCTGCACCCCCAACTGCTGCACCCCTCAAGTGTTGCACCCCCAACTGCTGCACCCCTCAAGTGCTGCACCCCTGATCACTGCACCCCTAAATGCAGTCGCTGAGTGCAGCTCACACTCACCTCTGTCTCCGACAGACCGCCCGGCACGACTGGTCTCCTACATCGGGGACCCGGAGGACGACAGAGACAGTGACGATGTGGAGGCGGGCAGCGACGACATGGACATCTCGCGCTCGGATGACGAGGGGGCTGAGCAGGGCGCCGGAGACGCGCAGGGAGCCGGAGCCGCCGCCCGCAGCGCCGATGATGACCTGATCCCGCCGGAGCCGCCGGGACGCTGCTCCAAAGACCTCCAGGTCGGTAGCAACTGTCAGCTATTGACGGTGGACGCGTGAGGGTACGGGACTGCTGATGAAACCATGATTTGTTGCTAGTTTGACTTCGCTTGATTTTTTTTTTTTTTTGACATTGCCAGTACGAAATTACATGTTTTATAGTGAGCCTGAGGTTGTCTGTGGTGAACTTCAAAAATAGATTCGAAATCGTGAAATTTTATCAGGTGATGACACGCTGCTGTTAATTTCGATATAATGAAATAGTTTATACGACCTTTGCTCAGAAATACTAATAACGACCGAGCTGTGTTTAGAAATACTTCCAACGATTGAACCATGTGCAGGTATTCCGTGGTCTGTGTGACAAAGTGCGGCCTCATTCACAGGAGATGGTGGCCAAACTGTGCCAAAAGCGGCTGCGGACGGGCGCAGACATGAACGACAAACTGCGGGCGCACAAGGACTTCCGTAATCCCTCCATCTACGAGAAGCTGATCCAGTTCTGTAACATTGACGAGTTTGGCACCAACTACCCACCGGTGAGCCGGGACGGGGATATCAGCTACTGGCCGATGAGCCGGGGAGGGTAGAACGAGCTACCAACGTTTGGCCTGTCAACACTGGCTAATCTCACTAACTGGAGTTTGAGCGACTTGAATTTGAGATCACTAAATAATCATAGTCATCAGTATCTTGCAGTGAAGTGGTTTGACTATTTATCATAAAATGTGTACGATTTACAATCTATCATCGGCCACGGCCCACCATAATGACCATCCCACACGGTTTGACATGTCGATTGAACAATTATGCCTACGATCAACTGTTGCTCGAAACTTCGTTGGACTGTTTTCACCAGAATAATGGCCAAAACCAGGGGTGCGGAGCCGGAGCCGGAGCTGGAGCCGGGGCCGCCGGAGCCGGCACATTTTGCCTGGAGCCGTAGCCGGAGTCGGAGCCGCCATGAGATTTCACCCGGAGCCGGAGCCGGAGCCGATTTTTTTCTCCGGAGCCGGAGCCGGAGCTGTCTGAAATTTCCACGGCTCCGCATCCCTGCGCATAGGAGATGTACTGAGCCGGAGCCGGAGCCGGAGCCGGACCATTTTACTCGGAGCCGGAGCCGGAGCCGGAGCCGCCATGACATTTCGCCCGGAGCCAGAGCTGGAGCTGGAGCCGATTTTTTCTCGGGAGCCGGAGCCGGAGCCGTCTGAAATTTTCACGGCTCTGCATCCCTGGCCAAAACCCGTCTCCAGTCATTGACATGGTTTTGTTAGTGAGAACCC